CATGCTTCTCATAATGACCCGAAGTGCAGTGCACAAGAACCGGTACTCTGTACTTCTTATTTGTTGAGTTATTGCCCTTTGTTTATTTTCATACTTTATTTTTGTCCGGACCATTTCTCCTTAAGTGTAAAATCTATGGACTTGAAACTTCATAGGATGATAGATCTCATTAAGAAGAAGTGCAGTGCACAAGAACTGGTACTCTGCATTTCTTATTTTTTGAGTTATTGCCCTTTGTTAATTTTCATACTTTATTTTTGTCCAGGCCATTTCTCCTAAAGTATAAAAGCTATGGACTTGAAACTTCATAGGATGATAGATCTCATTAAGAAAAAGTGCAGTGCACAAGAACTGGTACTCTGCATTTCTTATTTTTTGAGTTATTGCCTTTGTTAATTTTCATACTTTATTTTTGTCAAGGCCTTTCTTCCTAAAGTATAAAAGCTATGGACATGAAACTTCATAGGATGATAGATCTCATTAAGAAGAAGTGCAGTGCCCAAGAATTGGTACTCTGCATTTCTTATTTTTTGAGTTACTGCCCTTTGTTAATTTTCATACTCTTTTTTTGTCCAGGCCATTTCTCATAAATTATAAAAGCGTTAGACTTGAAACTTAATAGGATGATAGATTTTATTAATAAAAAGTGCAGTGCACAAAAACTGCTGATCTGCATTTCTTATTTTTTGAGTTATTGCCCTTTGTTGATTTTCAAATTTCATTTTTGTCTTTGCCATTTCTCTTAAACTATATTGTTCACAAGGCAACACATCCGACTCGCGGAGTTCTAGTTGTCCTGACCATTTCTCCTAGACTATATTGTTCACAAGGCGAAACATCCGTCTCGCGGGGTTCTATTTAAAGTTAAAAACCAAATGGCCCCAGAGTACTTAAGTGATTGTTTTGTTTTCCAGGAATCTATGCATTCTTATTGCACTGAGTAAAAAAGGGGGGTATTGGTTTCCTAAGGTTAAAGGTTTTTGGTCAAAGTCTTTTAGTTGTATTGGTGCTGAACTCTGGAACAATCTTTCAACTTACTTGACTGAAATTAACAAATTTCATCGTTTAAAGGTAGCCATCAAAATACCTTTTTTTAAGTAGCATGTAAGTGTTTTTCTTAAAATTTCTTGAAAGAAATTTTTATATGTTTTCATTTTTTATTGCTCAGGTTTACTGTTTCTTTTTTTGAAATTTGTTTTAAATTTTTTATTAAGACTTTAAAAACTTTCTCTTTTTTTTGAATAGTGTTATCTATGACATGTTCTTTCCTTACATACTCATAACTGTATGTTCATATTTTATAAACTATTAATACATGATGGTCCCTGTGATTATAAATCGCAAATATCCTATAAACTGTGATAATGTTTAAACGTAATATTTTCTTAATATGCACATGATTATTTCTTAATGTGATACTGACTTTTTAATGAATTACATTACTTTACATTTTAAATTATGATAATTCTAAATAATATCCTTCATTAATGTGATTTTTCTTATTATAAGTTTTTTTTTTCTTTTATGCAATACCTCTCTTTGTCATGCCACCAAATGCTAAGGACAACAATGGAAATAAGATATCGTTCTTTTTTGTGTTTTCCTTGGTTTTCGGACATGTCATGGTTTACATAAAATAGTGTTTATTCATTAATTTATTTATTTATTCATTCATTCATTTGTAATTGTTTTAATCTATATTGTGTTTGTTTATCATATTACATGTTTACCTTTATGCCGAAATATATATATATATATTTATTTATTACCCTTCCAGATTTTTTTCGCCTTTTTGATTGGATATTGATCACCTGAAAGAAATTTATATTACCGAGCCAGACGTGTAATATACACACTAACTTTCCCCGTTGGGTACCCCACGTTGTAAACAACATGCGCTGAGGAGATGCGCGTACGGTTCGATTTTACGCGGTGTAAATTTCTATTTACAAGCACTTTTTAACTGTCAAATGATAAATATTTACCAAAGCAGAGTAATGATACATATTCTCATCCGTATTGAAAACAAATATGACCTTATGAAAGCTTGATATCAATTACAAAAAAGTGCGTTCAATAGACTACTCCTTTTCTCTTGTTTACATTCGTTAGGTACGGGAAAAATACGTCATGTATTTATGTGACGTCATGTTGTGATGAAGGGGTACCCTAAAGGGAATCTTATTTGGACGTTTCATGTGAAACAGCAATTATTTTTTAAACTCGGCAGGGGAAGGGTAATAAAGTTATTATTTTGGTTTTGGAGTGATATATGTGGATATATTACCTGCCAAGATAAAATCTCACGATATAAAATCTTAGCAGGTAATATATCCACATATATCACTCCAAAACCAAAATAACATATCTATCTATCTACTTAGCTCACATAGAATTTAACCTAGTATCACGAAACTGAATAGGAATGTTGGTCAGCATGTGTAGTTGTGAACCTAGGGCTTCGCTTGTAGATAAATCCAGTACTTCTAGAATTATTGCCCTTGAATTAGTACTATATTTGCAATTATCAACTTGGGTTGTTGCTCAAAAAGTATTTGACCTAAAGTCATTATCTTAACAGAAATGTCAGCTAGCATAAGTAGTAACTGTTGTGCACCTGGGTTTTTGATTGTGGGTTTATTTAGTATTTGAAGAGTAATTGCTCTTGACTTGGTAAAAATCGTTCCATTATGTGGTATATGTGTACATTGAGTGCTTGAGTTTGAATCAACCAATTTAACAGGAATACAATAAATACACTATGAAGCTTTGCACCTGGGGTTAAGCATGTGGACTTTTTTCAGTTTTGTTAGAGATATTGCCCTTGACTTAGTATAAGTTTGCAATTTTACACTTGTTCCTGCATAGATGAAAAAATGTTTGTCCTGTAGACCAGAAAGTTTGCAAGAATGTTGGTTTGCATGTGTACTTTTGCGCAATGCGGTTTGCTTATGGGTTCATTCACTATTTTTAAAGTTTTTGCGCTTGACTTTAAAATAGTTTTCAACTTGTACCACGTGAAGCCCAAAACATATTTGACCTAGAGACATGAAATTTACAAAACAGTGGAATGGGGGGCATCAATGTCCTAGGGATACATCTCTTATTTTTATAAGGACGCGTTTTCTCCGTGTGTATTTTAATCTTCGTAGTAATATCTATTGGAAACAGAAAAAAACATGCCCATCGTTGGTTTACTCGGTGTAAGTTATAATTTCCATATTTTTGGCAGTAATTTTGGACGGCAACTTGGATTTCTTTATTTGCAATCATTCATGCTTCTCTATACGTGCCGTTTAAGAACTTACTATTATGGGAGATTTTGGTAAAAGACGATCCTTGTTATATATTTGGTACGTTTTCAAGATTTCGAATGGCTTGATTGTCATCCTAACCAATAGATGATGTTAATGAATAGGTGCTAGTCAATAAAAGCAGAGGACTTATGGAACTTATGGAACGTCAATTTGATTGATGTATATTCCTTTGGAGAATAAATATTGATGTTATAGTTATAGAAATGTCTTTTTCTTAATTTAAGTGGTGTGCTTTATTAAATCAAATGAATAAAACTAGGTTGATGAAACGTAGCATATAAATACATGTAGAAGACAATACAGAAATTATTAAGTTATTCCAAACTTTTTTACTTAACATGATTACTATCAATCAATCATAGATACAATCCAACTATTTAACTTAAGAGGAATCACATTATGTCCAGGTTACATATCGTCTGCATAACACGGAGTATAAAGTCTAAGTAATTATGTTGACAAAATTGCCTACGACAGGAAACTCAACAGCTAGGGGTCAAGGCTCAAATAAACAAGGACTTATTGTGACTTACATATTTTGACGTCTTATCTGTAATATTGAGGCCTCATAACCTCTGATTTGCATTAACTTATTTGCTCAGCACATTTCTTACATGTTACTAGAAAGGAATGAGCATTCCTTTAAATTGACTTTTATTTAATACTCTACATGTATGTTGATTGAAGGTGCAGTTTTATGTTTGCTTAGTCTAAAACAATATACTATATATGTATTTGTTTACTTGACAAAATATACCGCTATTGGGACACAGGAATGAATGTTTAATTACTGCACAGGCGTAACCAACAATTATTTCGGTGACACTCATTGATACTACAGTCAGTTATCATTATCGACAATATAGCTTTGGTGTCTTTTTCCCACACTGCAAAGCCAACCAAAGCTGCCAATTTAATTTTGTTACATAAAAATATTGTAATCGAAAGATTCGGGTATTAAGTTAACCAAACTGAACACTCTCTATATGGCAGATATCTCTGTCCTTTGATTCGGTGTACACTATTGTTTACTTCTTACTGAGATGTATTCACTGAGCTATGAAGAGAGCGTAGGCGGATGTAAGATAAAATAAATACAGGCAGTCATTTACATTTGTAGCAATAAGCCTAGTCCACAAACAACTTATCAGCCAACAGCAGCTTTCAAAAAACATGTATAAACATGTCTGTCCGGATATATAATTTCTGTAATGAATGATTTGGTCCAACTGTGATATATCAAATATGGTAAGGCGTTTTTATTTTATATATGAATTATTGTTAAGATCAATGTTCAAGTCCGACAATACTAGCCTGAGTTTTCATTTATTTATTTATAAATTATGAGAATAATTGGCTCAGGATCTATCATCTCCACAGAGCATGCATGTTTCATTAGAAAAAGAACTTCTGTTGAAATCCAGACATCAATATAAAATAATGCTTTCTTTTAATAACAAATTCCTAGAAAATCAAGCACTATATTAAATCTGATTTTAAGTTAAATAAACAATGTATGTTCTTTTATATTTCTCTGCATATTATAGCTATCGTCACAATGCGGTTTACCCAAGTTAAAAATCAATATAATATTAAAAATAGTGAATAGGATTGTCACTATTTTAATACTATGAAAAGGATAAGCAAAAAAAAAACAAGAATAAAGATAACATGCTTACTTACTAAGATGGCTGTCTAAAGTGACAAACTCAAGTTTCTTAAAAAGTGTGTACTTCGGTAACCAAAGATTCCACCATGGGGCAGCAGTATTTTTGTCAGACGTATAGCTGCACGTGGATAAGTCGCCATCATTAGCCAAATCAGAATACTTTGGTATGTCTATATTACTGTCATGACGTGATTTTTCGTTGAGTGCAATATTTTCTGAAAGCAAATGAGATCATGGATAATAAAGTATCTTATACTTGAGTTTAAAAGGAAAGGATGATTGAAAATGTCAATTATCATCCTCGTAACCGTCATCGGTACTTTATACAAACATATGTGTAGCACTTAATTGCTACTGTCGTCATAAGCCCAATAATCTGCATTCAATTTGTCTTATAAATTAAGACGGCTTATAATATTAGTTGTTTTTAAGTTCGTGTATGTAATTTTCTTGCAAAGCTATATGCATATTTACAATCTAATCATATCGGTTATACATGCATGTAAAATGTGTGCACTCTAACATACATGTATTGCCCGTCCCGGGTACACAAACGACTAGCACTTCTGTATGTTATTGATTTCGTTTTAATTTGAAAAAAAAATAATGAAAAAAATTTTGCTACTTCCTCGCTACATTAAGTAAGAAAACGCAGTATAATTAATGGGAAATTTATGTGTATTTATCAAATCGAAACACTTTATGAAATCAATAAATGCTACATAAAGTTTACCACCTAACTTTGATTACCGTTTGGCAATAACTGCTTGAAGTACATAAACATTATCAAAACAAATCGTCGAGTAACCTTCTCGGAATCCAGCTTGGGATTTACTAATTTTATTAAAGATATTAATATAAAAAGTTAATCTCCGTGTCAAAATACTAGTATAAATCTTACTAAATATATTTAAAAGAGAAATACATCTGTTATTATCAATGGAATTTATATTTCCTTATTCACGTATAGTGAAAATAATTGCCTTACTCCATGATTCCGGAAAATCACCATTATTGTATAAGCTATTAAATATCATAATAATTATTGAATCACTAAATCAATACCATTAATAAAAAATTCTGGAATAATATCATCTTCATCCCCTGAAGTTCCTTTTTTAAGTTCTTTTATAGCCCTTGAAATTTCTTCGTCTGTAATCTCTGATTTAAAAATTGAAATCTCTATATCATTATCTATATGCTCTGGTAAAATTGAGTCAATGTTCTCAAAGTTTTCATAGTTCATAAAATTGAACAATGATTCAAAATGATTTTCCATTCGTTCACAGTTATTGAGTTAGAACAATGTGCTTTCTTATTACACATACCTTTAAGTTTATGCTTTGATTTTGAACTATTTGACGAATCTATAAGCTCGTTTAATTGTTTATTGTAAAAATATTTTGTTTAAAATCACAAGTCTGTTTAAATGTTTTTGGCTGATAAATAATTCTTCAAATTTCCATCCGATCTATTTCACCTAAACATACGAGGTCTGCTATTTTTCAAATACATTAAAGATTTGCATTCTTTATCAAACTATTTTGGCTGTGTGTTATGGTTAATGTTTGACCTTTTTAAACAGCATTTGCCACTGAAGTAAAGTACATCATCAAATTAAGATATTATTTTAGACAATGGATTCGAGGTATCTACTATTTCTACACTATATTGGTTAATAAAATCTGGCGATAAAATCTCTGCATTTTTTTCAAAAAAAAAAGTTATTTTGGTGTCTGTAAAAACATACCGGTTTCTTAAGGTATGTTTATTATAAACTTTATTAATTATACCCCTATCGTTATTTTGACATTTTATTTTAAAAACTTAATAGAAAATGCGATGACACAGGTCTGTGTTCAATATTAAAATCAGTTATGAATTCTAAACTTCAAAAAGAACATAACAAATAATCAATAAAACTGCAACTTTGGTGACTTACAAATGTAAAATGTCCTTTGTTTTGATCTTTACATAACCTTCCGTTTGCTTTTCGTAACATATATGTATTACATAATTTTAATAAATCAATACCAAATGTATTTACTTTTGTATGACAAATGTTAAACGTTTTCTTCAAAACTATCAGCATAGAAATCTATATGAACAGAATATTTACATGTATACAAACAGTCGCTTCTTTCAGCTGTTCTTGCATTTAAATCTCCACAGATAATAAGATAATAATTTTGAATTTGCATCTTGCATTAAATTATCAATAGTGTCTTCTAACATATGAATACCTTTCCGCCTTCCCCCACTTTAAAATGAGGAATATATCTGAGGTAAGTATATAAAACCAATAATTATATTCTTTTCACATTTACAAACATTTAATAAATCTAATTTTACAAACACTCCAAAATCATAATAATGAAAGACTCGTGTCACATTCTTGCTGAATGATATCTTAATAAAAACAACAATACCAGCCATTGCTCTCCCCGTAAATGCATGTTTTATATTTAATCATATTCTGGTTAAAAGGATTCAACAAGTGATTGGTCAGATAGCCAAGTTTCTAAAAATACAACTATACTCGTATCATATTTGTATAAGATAGCTTTAAGTTCTGTATCAAATGTCTTATTACAAAACCCTTCTACATTCAAACATAAACAGTTAAAAGATATCTCGTTGTTTGAGCCTGGGCCATGTTCCTATATATATAAGAAACCTCATTTAAACTCTCTTATCAGTCCACGTGTTGTTATATTTTTCTGGTCCTTCGGGATCATTGATGCCACCACTATTGGGTGTTGAGAATTGAGTTTCACTCAAGTCGGTGCTAGGGGGCGTGAGGAATGTTGCACGCATTCATTATCCCTCATGTACAGACTCAATCAAACCTAGTCTGCAATTCTCTTTTAGTTTTGTTGTGATTTATGCTTCCGATGGATCACTTTGTTTCCAGATTTTTATACTACACAACAGCCGGTGTCAAGTGCTGTGTGGCAGCTGTAAAAAGTTGCCCCGTAATTCACTTTAGTGTTATATTTTTCTTGTCCTTCGGGATTATTGATGACAGCACTATTGGGTATTGAGAACTGAGTACAGCTAAAGCCGGTGCCAGGGGGGCGTTAGGGATATTGCACGTATTCATTATCCCTCATGTACAGAGTCAACCAAACCGAGTCTTTAATTCAATTTCAATTTTGTTGTAATTAATACTTCCGATGGATCACTTTGTTTCCAGATTTTTAGTTTCGTTCCTCCTTTCCCTACTCTACTTATACGATCACCATTTTCATTTTCAGATTGACTCGATTTTATATTTATGCCACTATTTGCAAACAATTTCAGTTGACCTTTATATAAGTAGCCCATTTTCCCCTTACTTTTATGTTTAGTCAGTTTTTGCCTTTACCTTCTCGTCAAATCATCGCTAATTCTGATCGCATTATTCCGTAGCATATCTTTTCCTTTTAAACTTATCATCATCAAACCTGAAAGTGACTAACACCATGCGACAAACTCCATCCGCTTTATTACATTTCCTTGAAACAAATTTCAGATCATCAGGTATCCAAGATTCACCAGGACTTGCAACATTAAGCATTTCTTTAATAACTTTTGATTTCAGACTACCAATAGATTCACTGTTGGTTTCGCTTAAGCCAAAAATTCTTAAATTGCTCTTCTTTGATTCGTGTTCAAGATAATCAATGCCATTACCAGTTTCTTTAAACTCTTTCACTTTCTGATCAATTTTATCACAAAAGTATTCAATATCTAATTGTAGATTTTCTCTGGTCTTTCTTTGAAAAAAATCGACCCCACCTTTTAAATTCGACACTTCTTTTTCATACGCACTGTGATACCGTTTCAGTTAAGATGTTTATTTTTTCTTACTTTCGATACATTTACTATTTGTTAAAGCTACATCAGATTCTATGGATAATAACTTCTTGCAGCTCTCTCATTAAACGATGATAAAGTGCACTAATGACTTCCAATATTCTCGTCTCGCTGTCATTAGAAAAAATGGCCAGGGTGTCTTTTTTCAATGTCACCAGCAATCAATAAAAGTTTTCTCTGTTTACCTAGGAATAGTGGTCAAAATGTGAATGAACTGGAGTATGTGCCAAAATCAACTAGCCAATAAATAAGATTTGAAATTTTCTGTGGGCTTACAATAATTTGATCCTCGAGCAGTGAACAATTTTCATGGTGTAAATATAACTATTAAATACCGATAGCATCAACAGTTAAGGCTGCAAATATTCTGTAGTGTATATCAAGTAGTAGTGATGAAGTAGTGTATGGCCTATATCGCTACTTTTTCAATACTTGCTTGCAGCCAGGTTGATATAAACCAATAGTTCTCTATATGTAATTAAATCAACACCCATACTTATTCCTGCGCACATTCAACCAAGTATAAGAATGACGAGTTATGTTGTTGGTCCCCACTTGTTTCCGTACTTTATAAGCTTTCAACGCCGCTGTTATGCAAAAATGTTTTACACAAAAGGCAACCAGTGGTCAAATCGGACGCAACGAGCATATAACGAACGAGGATGATTCAATTTAGCAAAATATTAGCAAAGTTTACTCACAGAATTTACTTAAGTCCAGTTATAAAATTATACTTAAATTGAACCTTGTAAAAGTCCAAATAATTCAGTTTACACCAATATAAATTATTTCTTCCAACTCGAATGAAAAGTTGCAATTTTTTTTATTTCAATAGGAGCACATAAAAGCGTGTCTACTGGTTACCAGTCCTTACAAACATCAAAATAATTCCACTTAGTTTCTATTGACATAACGAAACTAAATAGGGCCTTCCTCTAAAAAGCTTACTGTTATTTTATCTAGAAAATGAAGAATATAAAAGTACGACTTTATTCTTTATCTAAGAAAAGGATAATAATAATAATAGAATAAAACATCATAAAATTTATTGCTGAAAGAATCAGCAATATCATTTACGTGAATTAAATTGAAGAGACAGACTCGAGGACCAAGTAATAAGGGACGCCGCCATACATGTAAGGAAGTGCAAACAAAGTTCATTAAATAATTTTCTACCCCTGACGTCCCGCACTGTCATTGCTTGAAAAAAACTTATGGATAATGCACATCTATAAGTTGAAAAACTCAATGAACTGGTAATAAACCTGATTGATTTTGAAATTTTAAAGTACTTTCATGTGGACAGTCAAACGTGTTATAAAACGATACGTTCCTTTACTTTGCCGGTACCACAAAT